TAAACTATAATTACTAGTTTTTGCGAATTTTAAAGAATAGAATCCATTTGTCTTTGGACAAGCCCGTAATCTGATAATTGACTTTACTTTTTCTACTAAAATTCTTCAAAGTATCATTGGCTTATGTGATTATTAGTCAATGGCCGTGGAATATATAATCAGATTCCATATTTTACTTTTATAAATTCTCCATAGTATCTTTGTGTTATCATCACACAAAATGGCTAATCAGTGGCGCTAAATGAGTGTGCAAAATTTTATTTAGATACGGTGTACTCTTTTAACTAATTTAAATGGAAAATTACAAAATCAACTTTTGATAAAAGATATGCAATTTTACTTTATTTGTGATTTGATATGTTGGGGTGTTGTTTGGTCACATTTAAAAAAGAAAAAGAAAAAGAAAAAAAAAACCTTTGAAATTGATACATAGCAGAATCGATTCATCGTACGAAATTTTACTATGATATAATAAATATACCGAATTTTGTTTTGTAGAAATTTTGATATTTTAAGGTACTAAATAAATCGTGTAGTGGAGATCTCCTAGATAAAGATCGTGTTATCTTTTTGTCGGAATTTAGTTAAATAATGATGCCTAATTATGTAAAAAATAGACCATATGAATAAAAGTTTATATTCCTATGCTAGAGGAATATTATAAAAGGTTTGGAATGAAATAGTTATATAATTAAACGTTTTGTCATTCATATCACTCTATATATAATTTCAGAATAGTTTGAGCGTACATGACAAACTCTCATACTTCAGAATCTTATTTGGCAAAAAATCATGCTTTGAAGTTAGACTTAGATATAAATTAATATTTTTTATCACACTAAATCTATGATTGATTTTTTCTTCTTTACTTCTACAATTAGTTACCATAAATTATTTTATATTTATTTTTTCTATATTACCATACATTATATTTCATTTTCTTACTAGTACGTACCCCGTGCGATGCACGGGATAGAGATATTAAATGAATTATTTTCACAGGCTCTGTCTGTTTAAGTCTGAGAAGGGTTATTATACATTTTTCACCTATTTTAATCACCGTTAAGTCTCATTTAAGTCTGAAAAGAGTTATCATCTATTTTCCACCTCTTTTAATCACCGTTAAGTCTAAAAAAACAGAGTTGTAATCTATTTTTCACATCTTTTAATCAGGGTTGTTTTATTAGTCAGAACATTAAATGTGAGCATGTTAGGGCTAACTTGTAAAATAATTAATATATTATCTTACTAACACATTTATACTAATATAAATTTACTTTTATTATATATATTTATTCCTTGATATAAGAGAAAATAACAATTTTACTTATTCTTATTCACTATATAATAGTTAATTATTAAACTCTGTTGCCATATAATGTCATTATTATTTATAAGGTTATACAATTTGCACGTCTTCTTGTTCTTTTTATTTTATGTAATGAAATATATTTAATGCACGTTGGTATTATTTAATAAATATTCATAAATTAACAATAATAATAATATTCATAAATTAACAATAATAATAATAATAATTTCCATTAAAAAAAAAACTTGTTCTCCAAAATGATATCCACGTTGCAGAATTTCAACTCCCTTATGTAAAGTAAGGCATGTATAAAATTGTTAATTTTTCTCAATAGCTCATTACCGAAAATTTGAATTAACTTNAACTGAACTCTTTTAAAAGTAGAATGGACACCAACAACCATTGCTCGAACAAAATAAAAATAAAAGTATGTTATTTCCATTAACATAAAATAGAAATTAATTTAGGAACCGAAAAAAATTGAATTCAATTTTATGGTACATGAACGAGTTAGATGTATTATCGAAAAAAAAAAGTAAAAATCGAATTATTTTGAAAGTAGAACAGATGCAACAAACATTGCTCGAACAAGATACAAGTAAAAGCATGTTATTCTATTAAAATTAAATGATAATTAATTAGTATTCGGAAGAAAAAAATAATTCAATTGTATGACATGAGAACGAGTTAGATGTGTTGTCGAAAGAAATAATTAAAACCGATATCTAATTATATATATGTGTAATAAACTATTATTATTATTATTATTATTTGAATAATTATATATTTACTCACATTAGTTATTTTATTCAAATTATTAACATCAATCAGCTAATTTTACTAAACACTTTAGCATAATCCGCTAATATTATCCGTCGGTCAAAACAGCCAATACAATCTGCTAGTCAAAACAGCTGATATAACCCGCTAACAGCTAACCGCTAACCGCAGATTGCCAAACAAGGTCTAAGGCTGTGTTTGGTAAAACTAGTTGATAAGCTAACTTATAGTTTATATGTAATTTTTAAGCTTATAGTTTATAACTTATGACTTATAGCTAAAAAGCTAGCTTATATGATAAAAATGTTTGGTAAAATTAGCAGATAAGTTAGCTGAAATAAAAAATTCAACTAGTTTATTTGAAAGGTTACCTAAAGTAGCTTATGAGATAAGCTCGAGTTTTTTAAAATAATAAGAATGATAAATAAGCTATAAGCTAACCAAATGTACGGTTTTGCTATAGAGCCAACAGTTAGTTCCATAATGGAGCCAACCTTCTATATACATCAAATAAACCTACCATGAAATTGACCAAATGTAACTCGTTCGTGTACCATAAAATTGACCGTAAGTGTCAGATATGACCTATACCACAATGTATTTTTAAGCTTCATTGATAGAACAATAAGAATGATAAAAAAATCTCAAGAATTTTACATAAATTGAGCGAATAAAATGTTAAGTTAATTATTTGTGAAGTGATGATTAATCGAAACGTAGATAATACGCATTTTCAATTATTTTGATGATTACACGTCTTAAGTTTAAAAAATACAATATAATATGATAAAATAAATAATATATAAGCTTATCTCGTTTACTCCAAATTACATTTTAGCTATCAAATATAAAATTATATTTACATAGATTCGAGTTGCGGTTGAAGTGTGGAATCTGTTGAACTGATTAAGAAACAAAGCAATTATGTTCCACTATGCAAAACAAAGCTAATATTCCTAATTTTCTAATTGAACAACTAATAAATTCAGAGTACGAGATCCAATTCATTTTTGGTAGTTTCTCCCCTGTTTTCGCATATCAGCTCTTCATTCATATTGTT